ACAAATTATAAAATAAATATAATATTTTTAATTCCAAAACAATATCCTAAAGACAAATAATATGTTTTTGTATCTAAACAATATCTTAGAGATTTGAAATTAAAAATTTATTTTTTTTCAACAATAGAGAACAAATTTCACTTTATAAATTGATTTTGTAAGATTAAGCTAGTTAAAATAATATAAGAATTATTTTAAATCTATTAAAGAAAAAGGAGTTAACAATTATTATACATGCACTAAAATTTAAGTCACACTTATCCTAAATTATTTTAAAAAGTGTCACTTAGAATTTATACACAGCAAACAAGAAGGTATTAAGCGTAAGTGAATACATTTGACTAGAGGATTACAACAAAATAATATATATAAATAATAATAATTAATATTTTTATAATAACATATTGCAACATAAATGGCATCACTTCAAGTTCAATTGAGCTAAAGGACTTTTGGTAGTTTGTAGGATGTCAAATTATAGGTAAAAAAATATATAGCCATAATTAAGTAGTGTTTGTTGATAGAATCAAATTTCAACCAAAGTCTCCCTGCTTCCAGTTTAGTCTACAATACCATACATAATTAAAGGGGAAATTGATTAAAGGGGAAATTGAATATGGACAGATATAGAGAAAGATTAAATAAATAAAATGCCTTCAAAAATAAATTAAAAGTTTAATTCAATCTTATAAAATTAGTTTATAAAACTCAACATCTACAAATGATCTTATAATATGGTTCGATAGTAGGTAATTTGATAAGTCCATCAACAACATTTTGTTAGGTTAGGCTTTGATACCATCTTTAAAAAGTGAATTAAAAGTTTAATTCAATCTTACAAAATTGACTTTTAAGGTAATGATTTTTTTCATTTATATACATTATTATGATATCTTATTCTTAAACATGTGGGATCTCTAACAAATTTTCTTGTACTGAAAATTAGACATTTCAAGTATTAGTTTTGTATAACGATATTATTTCAAAACGATGTGAGATTTTCAACACACATCTTTTACATTGGACATCTCAAACTCAAAGTTTGCATGATTTTATTCTTAAATAATATGAGATATCCAACACACCTTTTTCACATTAAAGACCGGACATCTTAAATTTAAAGTTTGTGGGACTAGACATATATCTACAATACCATACGTAGTTATATGAGAAACCGAATTTGGGCAGATATAGAGGAAGATTAAATGAATAAAATGACACAGAAAGAACCTGTAACCGAGAAATAAACAGGTCTCTTTGGTATAGACAGGATTCCGTTCCAGATGACTACTCATTGAAGTTTTTCTGTTAAACTTTATTGTCACACTTGTATCTTGGTTGATTTAGAACTAAAACGTCAAACGGTCAATGTTATGCACTTTTGAGCTAAACAAGATATAAAGAAATAGCGAGGTGTTTGAACTAAATAAGGATTTGATTATGGGTGGGGTCGAAAATTTCAGCAGACATGTGCATGTAATCCACATAAGTAGGATGGTGTTCGGTCTCAGCTACCCTCCCTCGGCATCACTAGTTTTAGAACTCTTTCTTTAGGATGCTTCACTGCATGTGAGATTTTTCTAAATTGTTTACAGATTTTTATTTTAAGAATGTTAAATTGTTGTGATGGATATAAATGTTTTAGAATTTGTTTTTTAATAAAACATTCTTACGAAGTAGACAATTTTAATTCTATTCATGATAATATTTGTAACATGCTTTCTTTTATATATATTATTTTTATTTTTTATGTTACAAAGACTAATAAAGACTGAAAATAAAAACAAAAGAAATCAACTCGAGCTTTAGGAAACTGAACTCCAAGGAATCATCAGCACTCTACGCCTCAAGCAACCAAGGTGGAAATTGACGAAGCACAAGAACTTCCCATCAGTGGAGACACCCTTTTTAGCCCACTTAAATTAAGGGAGAAAGGTAGAGATGCAGGGAAGAGATGAATTTATTTGAATAAGGAGTGGGATAAAAAAAAAAGGAAAATTGTATTGACATATCATGAGTTCTTTTTAAATGACACACATCTCTTTTAATTTTTAAATGAATACTATAACTTTCTTTATTTATTTTTTTTATTTAAGTGACACATACAACTCCTTATATAAAACAATAACATTTGTGTTTCATTGAGTGAAAATAAATTATTAATGCAAATGTTAACAATTGAACAAAATTTAATTCCTTACTCAATTTTAGCTCTTAAAATATCATGCATGTTATAATTTAAAAAATATACCAACTTCAAAGAATGTTTTCAAGGAATGATCTAAGAAATTATTATTTTCAAAATTAAAAAATAATAATAAAATTTATATAAAAAAACATAACATTGTATGTAATTCAAAAATAAAAAAAATAAACATGTATATAATTGATAGAATATAAACTAATTCTTTTTTACATTATTTAAGAGAAATAGAAAATTTTAAAAATCAGAAGGATAGTCATGTTATTTAAATAGACTTCATGAGAGTTAAACATAATTTTTTCAAATGAAAAACACATTAAAAAAAAAGTTTGAGAAATAATAAGAACAAAAAAAAAATACAAAAAGTAAGGCCCTATAAAGAAAAATGTAATTGGGCCTTTACTATCTACCTTAATTACTTACAATTTAGGATCATTAATTTAAGTTAAAGAAAAGTAATTATATTACTTTTAGCTTTTAGAAAACATTTGAAAGCGTAAGATTTTTTAAAGGTTTAAATATAATTTTAATCTTTATAAAATAAATAAGATTTGATTGTGTTTTTTATAATTATTTTTTGGTTCATTTTCTATTTCTAAAATTTAGAAATGTTGTTTTAGTCTATATTATTATATAATTATTTATAATTACTAATTTATTTATTAAAAGGTTAAGTGATTAATTTTTATCAAGTGTTATTTATAAACATTAATGATATTTTATTAGTGTGTAACATTCCTAAATTTATTTATAGATCTTTAAAATAAATATTAATTATTTATTTTAAAATCATTTTTAGAGATAAAAATGGTTATTTTACATTTTAGAACGGTAAAAATCAAATAAAAATATTTTAGAGACTCCAAGATCGAAATTTACTTATTTTATAAGATCAAAAATATTTTATGAGGATGAAAAATAATGTTTATAGATTTTTTAAGAATGAAAAACAATTTTTTATAAAGATTAAAATTAAAATTCACTTATTTTATAAGTAGTAAAAACGTATTTAATTTTAAAAAAAATTATATATATA